CAGACAAAAACAAAACACATCATAGTTAAATAAATATCTTGTCGGCTTTGCATCGAAGCTAAAATAATATTTTATGCTAACAAATATTGAATTATAATTTAACTTATTGAAGGTCAAAGTGTGGATACTTTTTTAAATCAAATACTTTTTTAAAAAGTTCAAGGTACTGTTCAAATACTTTTATGAAAAAGTATTTGAAATACTAGTTAAATATTTTCAATTAATTGTATTTGTAATACATCTAAATTACTTAAACAATTTTTTTAAGACTATAGGCACAATAGGGGTGGTTACTTGAAATTTTAGGTTTTTATCTCTGTAGAGATGACAAAAAAATATTTAACTACATATTATTGTAGAGTTTTCAGAATTAAACAATAATTTCTTTTACGAAAATTNTCAGAATTAAACAATAATTTCTTTAACGAAAATTACATATTTTCTAAGATAATTTCTTGGATTAAATATCAAAGAATGTCTTATCTTTAATTAATCACCTGTATAATATATTTGATAGATTTTTTCATACGATAATTTAACCAAAAACATGGAGTTGAAGACATTTTAGTTGTTGTCTGTACCAAAGATTTGTAAATCAATTTTATCATTCAGGTTAGTTTTCTGCTGTATTAAAATATTGATTGGCAACAATCATTACTGAAATTTTTTAATTATTTTTGACCTTCAGAATAATGGGTAAAATTGATTTATAAGCTTACCGAAAAGTACTTAGGTACTACCAAATAAATATTATTTTTATTATACTTATAATACTAAATTAATTAACACAAAGTTAAACTAATGCAGTTTAAACTTAAATTACTTTTCAAAATCTTTTGAATTTAAAATTGTACTGTGATCTTAAAAAATAGTTCAATTTTCAATTGAATTAAACTGACTTTATTTAACTGTACGATTTATTCTGTTAGTTTATATGTTGTTAATTTTAAAATTAGGGTACTACATTTACGATGGATCCAAGTAATTACTAAAATGTATTCTTAACTCTTATTTGTAAAAATAAATAATCATTTCCCACTAAAGCTTTTTTATAATTCACGAAGAATTTTATGTACAGTATATTTTAGTGANCAAAGAATTTTATGTATAGTATATTTTAGTGATAGTAAATAGAATATATTGTAATAATAATAAATTTTAATATCACAGGAATCTACTTTATACAAATTTTCATGGAAGAAATAATAAATGTCATGAAATATTTAATGCTTTATAAATAAAGATTTTGATTATTCACATTTTTGGAACCAATGATATATTTCCATAAAAATACAGTCCGGGAATATACAATCCGGCTCTTCACTTTCCGCGATTATACGTTCCGTCATTCTACGGTCTGTTATTTGTCTTTCCGTCAATATACGGTCCGGCATTGTACTTTCCGTCGTTCTACGGTCCGTAAATATTAGTTCAGAAATATTACTTTCCGCTATTATACATTCCGGTAATATTTTTTCCGTACTTATATAGCCCCCCCGAGCCGCCACTGCTTATTAGGGGAATACACTGACTTTCATGAATATTATATAATTTAATTGACATAGAATAAAGTTCATAAGATATAAGAAATTAAACTCATTACAATTTTTTTATTTTATTAAAGTCAAAAAAGTAATTTTTAAATTTGAGTCAGCTTAAATAGTTATCATAAATAGCTTATCGTGTGACGAAAGTAACGAACAGTTGCCGAATCGGTAACACTTGTGTCTTTCATGCATAGGGTACGAAGTTCAAACCCGTCTGTGGCTTTTAATATTTAGCATTTTTTTTGAGTTAGAATAAAATTTTCAAATCATTTGATATTTATCTCATTTAGATTCAATAACTTCAATAAATATAAAGAATCCTATCACTATAGCTCCCCTCGTGAAAAGAAATTTATATTCATGTTAATATTATTTTACTATGTGGTTTTTTTGTGGCTACGATTTATTTTGCCAACCCTCACTAGACCTACTTTTTTCAACGATACGTCAAATGATTACAATTCGTATTTAGTTTAAGTTATTACTCTTAAAAATTGAAAAAATATTCCTTATTCAAATAAAAAGTAGCTTAACCAGCTTTATCCATACAAACAATTAAAATCATTAATTTTTAATATTCTTAAAGTATTTATTGTTGAATTAGATTTGATATGATAAAAGTATTCAACTACAAAAGTAAATAATTTTTCTTTATAATTTATTAATTTTTTAACTCTATTTGTGTGTGCTACTACCAGTCTATATTATTCCTAATTGTTTTGTAACATGTTGCTACATAAATCATAAATTAAAAAAAAAAAATGATTTTTAGTTTCACCTGAATTTAACGATGGATTTTTACAATTATAATAAAATTTTATAATACGCACAATTAAGTAAATTTTTTTAACAACTTTGTTTTGATTGATTCTTTTCAGTGGCGTATTTTGAATGATTTCTCGGGTGGTGTCCAACTTTTAATGAACCTCACAAACGAAAATTATAGAAATGTTTACTGACGTAAAAAAAACTTACTATTTTTCTAATTACTATTTTAGGAATTGAAAAATAATTTGAAATTTGAAATTTTGGTTCTGTTGTATCTTAAAAGAAACAACCTTAGTGTCTTAACTTAAAGTAATAAAAGTTTAATAATAACTCAAATGTATTTATTATAGATATAATTAATCAATGCAAAACATACAAAATAAATATACACTAAAAACACAATAAAACAATACACAAAATGAAAACTTAATGTCATAAACGTACCGCGCGAAAAGAGATTACCTTCGGTGCTCCTGAGGTCCTCTCTCCTCTACGATTCATTCCATTTCGTCTTATATACTAAAATATTTTGTTTTTCTTCTTTTTGCAAAATTAATAATACTATCGTTTTCAAAAATGTTTATAAATATTTAATTCCTGGTCTAGTAATAATAGATCAGGAAATTACAATTAAACAAAACATTACAAAAATGTTTTACTTCCACCTTAACAAATGATAAACTATATTACAGTATGCAGACTGATTTTTTTATCATAACCCACTCATTTACTTGTAGAATAAATATAATTTAAACATTATTTTTGGTGTCTTTAGTTACACATTATTCTTAAATTATTAACTATTTAAAACTTTTTATGTTCATCCCTCATGCCTTGTAAGGGTGTCAACTTTGTCTTTTAGTCTTTTAAATGGGAACACATATTTTGAATGTAATAAAATGTTTGGATTTTTAATTAAATAGTAAATGGCATTTGAATTTTTAATATAACTTTATTAGTTTATTAGATATAAACATTTAAAGTTTCAAACTTTTGAGTTAATATACATGTATAATACACATGATGATATGATTACAAATACAGGTAGCTAAATGGTTTATATGATATCAATGTCGCAGTCACGGATTGTTTATTATCAATTATGACTATCATAGATATACTTTCTGTATTGTCAGTTAGTGTATTTATAAACTCACAACAATGTGCCTTACTACCATTGATAATAACAATGCTGTGTACCTGCTAATTTCTTTGAAGTTGTTTTAAACAAAGTAACTCATAACTAAATACTTTATTTATAATAAGTAAACAAATAATAAAATCTCCTTTCAGTATTGATGTTCGTAAATTACTTGCTTTTGATGATGTTTCAGTGTCATTCCACTTCGAAATTATAAATAACGATTCAATTAGGTACACAAAAAGCTCAAGATAATCATTGACAGCATAAAAACGTTCAACTCATTTAGTCGCACATAATTGTTTTAATGATTTTTTAGTTATACATTTTTGACTTTCTTCGATTTGACTTTTCAACACATCTTTTCGCTTTGGGTATATGAAAAAATCTCTAACTTTAGATGTTGTTCCTAATCAATTTCGTGTTTCTTGTATAGAAGATGAATAAGAAATAGCAAGGTTTAAAACATGAACAAACGTCACAAGCGGATAACTTTGGTGAATAAGATTGAGCTCCGTTAAATTGACCAGACATAGAAGCACATCAATCGTAACACTGTCCTCTAAGATATTTTGTTTCTACACCAAATGAATGTAAACTTTGAATAATAATATTTAAACCTTTTCCAGTAGTATCTGTTGTAGGCACAAACTGAAGAATTCTTCCTTGATAATCATATTTTCAACATCTAAATATCGAACACACAAAGTTACTTGTTCGCTTCNTTGAACACACAAAGTTTCTTGTTCGCTTCCACCAATGTCGGCCGTTTCATCAGCAAGTATTTTGAAACATCTTTGGGCATTTATGTTTTTTACGATTTTATTTAAAATAATTTTATTACAGGATTCAATTATTTCATTTTGAAGTGTTTCACTTGTATATTTAATTGTTTCTTCAGCTTCCAAAAATGATTTTAAACGGTCATCTCCTTGGGCTCTGTATCTTAATATTTCTCTAAAATTTCCTTGATTTTCTTGGATAATTTGTCATTTTCTTGATATATATTGAAGTTAGAAAGATAGCCGTTATTGTCAAAAAAAAAAAATAATAATAATAACAATTAAAATGTAAATAATAATTAAACCTATAAGGTAGTTAAACCCTAAAGTTATTTTCGATTTGTTAAAGACGTTAAAATTAATTCAAATCTCCTGTTATTTTTTTTTATCAGAATTATTATGTCATTAATTCAATTATTAATTAAATTGTTAAACTATATTATATATTCAACTTAATAAATTTTTATGTTGATTATAATCGCATGGCATGATGTTTTTTGTTAATAACTAAATGGAAATAGCAATTTCACATGGGCAAAATTTTTAATAGCTACAAGAGAATAAATCTAAACGTTAATATTTTATTTCATACAGATTAAATTTTATATGCATAAATATTCTGTTAACCGATATCAAATTTATTCCACTTGAACTTTCATAAAAAAATCTCTATCATTTGTAAACTAATGTAATAAATAAACAAACAAATACAAAAGGTTTTTCTTTAAAATATCTTTAAAATATATATATATATTTTTTTTTTTTGATAATTCTCTGTATTATTCTTAAAATATTGTATTCTTTGACCAATAATACAATTAAAATAAATAAGTATTGTTTATACTAAATTTATTTATAATTGGCTTATACATTTTTTTAATGAATTTTTACAATTAAGTTTCCTTGACAATTAGATGTAAATGTTGATTTTATCGACATTTCAGTTCACTTCGTTTTTTCCCGTGAAAAATAAACTATCGTCTTGTGTAATTATTAAGATTTATTTAATTAGTTATTGATATGGCAAGTGAAAAAAATATTTTTGGTCAAACAAATGAATCAAACTTACATAAGGTCATACGCAGAGTTGAAGAAATATGGAATCGTCGTTTCATGCATTCCAATTGTGTTTTAAATAATACAAATAAAGGACAAATATCAAAAAAGTCAACTAAAGATGGAAGAATTATCTGTAAACACTATTAAGATTAATAATTAAACTAACTATTTCGAATAGAGAAAAAGTTTTTTAATATAAAATATAAGAAAAATTAATAATAAGTTCTCTTATTCATATATAACAATAATTCAGTCGCTTTACTTTAATTTAACTATTTTAATATTAAAAACCTTTTTCGAAATTGATTATTTAATAAATAATTATTAAAATTATATTCAATTTGCAGCAATTATTAATAAAAATATTTATCCTATAAAAAATTCCATTATTCTAAAAAAACGCAAGTATCGAAAAACGAATAAAAATGATAAAATTATTCCAGAAAAATTGATAACTATAATTATATTAATATATTTATTCGATTAGCTATGTTATTGGGGTTTATCTGATTCAAAAATATAAAATAAACTATCAACCCCCTTAATATAAATGCAGTAATATAATGTTTAATATTATTCTGCTATTTTTTGTATTAGATTTTTATGGGAAATTCAATTTTTATCGAAGATAATAATATAATATTAAGTATAGTTTATTTGTTTATTTAAATATCTCTTTGGTTACCTAGAATATGATGCAGCAAAGAGAATTCGGAACACTTTTTCAGAATGAAAAATCTGAAAAATATAAAAATGAAATTTTAAATTCAACAGAAAAAAAAAATATAGCAATTTCAAAAGACAATCCGCTATTAATATCAGCTGATTTGTTAGAAAAGGTATATTTTATTATGCTTTATTTCAATAAAAAGATTTTAGGGTATACCCTAAACCATTTTTTGGACTTAAAGCAGATTTCTTAAATAAATTTATCATATAATTAAATATATTTTTATGATCCGTTAAGAGTTTTCATAAGAAAAATTTGGAACGCAAAAAATCCGAAATAAAAAAACAACTTTTTGAGATATCTTCTAATACTACTGCTCGACCAAATTTAAAAAGAAATTCATCCGAAGAAGATGAAAAAGTTATAAAAAGTATACAACTTTTAAAATATAATTCATTTTTAAAAAATATGAAGTTTTGATTTTTGAAACAAATATGTAATATTTTTAAACAAATTTTTTTAGAGCCAAAAGTTAGTTCTAATCCTTTGACCTTAAATACGCCGAATGACGTAAATTTACTTGCTCTGTCCACTATTGAAGTAATAAAAGTACCAGAGAAAGAAAAAGGTAATTAGTTATTTAATCTATTTATTTTATGTAAAATTAAATAAAAAAAGATTATTTATTAAACATAATTAATTATAATAATACGAGTTAAATTAATATAACTTCTGCAGAGGCGTGTCATTAAGGGGGTCCATGGACGTTTTAAACAAAAGTAATTATACGTGTTTAATTTCATATTCCAAAACCTTAAATAAACCTAAATAATAGTAAACTGTTCAACAAAGTCTTTTATTAATTTTATGAAAAATGTTTAAATATGGTTACACTTGCAGAAGTAATGCAAGATCAGAACACAAAATCTCTTGATCAGTATAATGCACCTTCATTTAAATCGCCCACATCATGGTATACTTCAGACACAATTAATGAGTACATTAAAATGATAGTAAAACGGTCAGAAGGTAAAGTTTATGCAGTTGTCACTGATTTTATTGTAGCGTATCTTCGAGAAGGTTATCAAGCTGTAAAAAGATAGATAAAAAAAGATATTCACAAAATAAAATTACTTTTTGTGCCCATGAATGTATATGAGAGTCATTGGATATTGACAGTGGTTAATATACCTGAAAAGACTGTGACATCATATGATAGTCTTAAGTCGTATGAGGGTCCCTATCCAATGGTATTAAAAAATTTCTTAATTGAATGGGAGATGGACAAAAAAGGAAAAGCTTCTACATGGACATTACAAATAGGCGAGACATCTCGCCAAACCAATGGACATGATTGTGGGCCATTTACTGTTGAGCTGGCAGAAAAAATGTCTCGAGGAGATACAACACCAATAAATGCAAATTTTATGCCTTTTATAAGATTAAGACACAAAAATGAAATTATTGCTGGCGAGCTATTCAATTAATATTTTTATGAATGAAATTTTATTTTTGTATTTTATTTTTGTAATTTTCTTAATATTCACTATAAATTGAAATTTTTATTTGTATACCACCAAACATTTTTTTACTTTTTCTGTGTTTCATTGTTGTTTTGTTATTTTATTTTAATCTTATTTTTCTTTGTAACATTTCATTTAAGAAATTCAAATTTAATATAAATTTATCTTAACTGAAATAATTTAATGTTCTTGTTATGTGAATATACAAATATTATAATATACAGTTATGGATACAATTAAGTTAAAAAGTCAGCCAATTATAAATTTTTAAATTAACAAGCGTATCTACTATCTTAACAACTTAATTTTAATTTTACTAAATGACGATTCATAAAGAATTTCATAACTTTTGTTTATTTTTTAAATACTATTTTAATTATAAAAAATTCTTTTCTGTATTTTTTATGAATGCGGTATATTGAATAGGGGTAACTAAACTTATTTGTTTATAATTCTCTAAACTGATAAACTATAAAATAAATTTAAAAATNGAGGTAACTAAACTTGTTTGTTCATAATTCTCTAAACTGATTAACTATAAAATAAATTAAAAAATGAACTACAAAATCAGAATATTTCCGTTGTTATTATATTTTTGCTACGGATATTTTTGTTATCTAAATGACCCAATGAAATCCAAATTATTTCTAGAAATCTCTGATAAAATGTAGATAAATACGTGTCGTCGAATCCTATCAAATTATCTTTAATTTTGTTATTTATTTAAAATACAATTTATTTTATAGTAAATAAATATAGTATATTATAAAAAAAGTTAATACCAATATATTAGGCATTTTCTTTAAGTCGGGCTTGACATTGCATTTTTGAAAACATCGAGAAAAGTGGATTCAGAAAAGTATATTTTGTTTCTGATGAATGTTCTATGTAAATCAGTGTATAAAACTTATAACTTTATTATAAGTAACAATCATTTTTTATAGAAAAGTATTGCGTCAAACTTTAAATTTTTATACGCGTTAAAAGTAAAGAAATATACTACTACTTTATTATTTTTAAAATATCTCCGTAAAAATTACAATATTAAATTATTGAATATCAATTTCATACTAAATTTAATTACTAAAATTGTTATTTATTCATATATAATAATTTTAAATCAAATAACTAATCGGGATAAAATTAAGGGAATAAGAGTTATTGTTGTTTTTGAAATAATCCACCAATTTCTTAAAATTAAACACTACCTACAGAATCGCATCGAAGCGTTTCTTATGATAGTATATCATCTATACTTGTCCCAACTATGCCACGTTCATACTGTGCCGTGACCCCACTGTGCTACCGTTTTTTTCAGAATAATACTAGTAGTTTTTGTTCATTATTGTTTTAAGCTTATTTTAAAAATTATTTTTTACTTTTTAGTTCGATATGCTTTAAAAGCGTGTTTTTCAGTTTTTTAAAACTATATTTATTTGTTTTGAACTCATCAAAAATAGTATTGATTCGTTGGGTTCATATTGTGAATTTATTTGAAAAAGAAACGTTTGTCTATTTCAGAATATTTATTGGAAACATCAAAGTAGAAAAATAATAATTTTACCACTAATCTGTAAGATTTAGAATTTCGTTTTATGAGCGCTTAGTTTTTGTAGAGACAAAGAAAAATCAAATGATTGACAATAATAAAAAATATACTAAGTTAATTTAATAAATCAATGTGATACGTGTGTATTTCAGGAGTTAAGTAGAAGGTTCATGTATAGCCACCATACTACTCTGTTTAGACACACAAGGTGCTCAATCCCACCTATCGTTGGTAACTGTCAATACTAGTGGCACTACTGATATTGAAGAGTGTTATTATTGATCACAATAAAATTTAAATAAATAATGATCACTATATTAGTTGCGTTTTAATCGCCGACAAGTATGGAGGTTTTTATCGAACTTGATTTCCTTATAAAAACTTGATATCTTACCCACCTAGCGATATTTGTAATTACTTAAAAATCTTACGAACATTTTTTGAATATATACTGACGTAATATTTTAATTAGCTCGTATGCTTTAATTTGTAGATACTTAGCATCGGGTAATTCATTCACAGACCTTCATTACTCCTATAGATTGGGAATATCTACAATAAGTAAAATAATAGAAGATGTGTGCACCGAATTATGGGGACTTAAATTTGAAGTTGAGTTTCGTTTTAACCGCCGACAAGTACGGATGTTTTTATCGAACTTATATTAGCTGTTATCGATAGATTAGATGTTTCTTTTTATTGTTGTTTTTTGTGCATTTATTTTCTTTTTTTGTAATTTCTTTCCCTAGCAAAGTTGTTCACTTCCATTGACTTCTTGGTCACGTAGGAATCTATATAAATGAAAAACCGACCGCTTAGCCAAACAAACTTCAAGTTTCCTTTATTACCACTTTTCTTTTCTTTTAAAATCTAATGCCTCCTATATTTTAAATCTTTCCTTATCTAATGCTTCGTTAACCAAATGGTCCTCATTTGCCTCAAACTTTGCTCAATGGCACCGATCAATCACCCCATACCTCTCAAATCTCCCCTGATTCCATCTCCTCCACAAATCTATCGTCGCTTTCTCCCGCTTAAAAGTTGGTAACAATCTTCTACCCTAATTCGCCTTCAAACTTAACCTTAATTCAGTCCCTTTCTGCCACCTCCACGAGGAGGAATTTATTGGTGATATCCCTCATTTTTGATTACTTTGTTCTTCTCTCAATTTCAATAAGTCCTTGTTATTCATCTTCCTAGCCATTCATGGTATAACTAATCCCGATCCTTTTTTAATCCTTAATTCCCGTAATGTGTCCATTATTAACGCAATTATATATTTTCTTTTATAGTACTTTTTATTATATTTCATTTTATTTTCAACTTATAACATGAATATCTCTTGTAAGTAATTTTATTACACTTTTGTTTTCTTTCCTGTTACTTCTATTGTTGTAAACGTATATATTTGTAATGTTAGTGTTGTTTCACATATTAATTGTTGAGTCATAATATTTTTAAATAAAGGCTAATTTAAAAAAAAAAAGATCATTATATATTTCTATCGTTTTTTATCTTTCTTACTAACTATGAGTACGAGACTCATACCACGATAATTTTAATATTATTAAAAATAACAAAATAGTAACTATCTCCATTTTTAACACGCTTATATTAGTTTCACATGTATGTTGTTTGTCATTTGTCGTTTGTTGTTTGTTGTAAGTTTGTAACTCCACGCGGCACGTGTTATTGAGACTAGACTGTCGTAACGCATTCACTCCACCCCACTTACCACTCACTAACAACAATATTTTCCTGTATATTTTTATTTTTGGTTTTCGTACCCATATACGCGTGCGTGTCATCAATTATGTATATATAACAAATTTTTATTCTAATTGACACGGCTCCGCTCGTTTCGTTATACACGATGCCCCACGACTCGTGTCACCTTTATCAGCCGTCGCCTTATTTTATAAGTATTTGATTGACCAACACCGCGCTATATTCGCCACGGTGCAAAGTCCAGCAAGTGCCGCACGGCCGACGACGTCCCGCCGCTATTGATACCGTAGTATCCTTCCCATTGACAAAGTGACAACGTCAACAAACCGATCCGCACTCGTGCACCATCGTCATCTACGCTGCTAAACTTTTGACGCCTGAGGATCACGCCGGACATCGCGTCGTCGACGACAGCGAAAGTGCCGAGATATTATGCGAAGATTATATATTCTTACCATCGCCGCTAATATTAATATATATATATTTTAATTACTATTAAAACTTATATATTAATATGCTTTATTCTCATTAAGAGATATATAGTGTATTTATTCTGATTACGGGTAATGATTGCCGTATTGTCATTTTTCGTCACTACCTCCACGTTGCGCGTTTTGCTGCTTTCCTTGAATGTGGTGGCCGTTTATCAGACTCCCACTCCGGAATCGAACCCTGATTTCCCTTTACCCGTTACAACCATGATATTGATAATAACTAGAGATGGATTTTTGACTCACTGATATGAATCAGTTCATTTGAATCAGTTCACTCAAATGAGTTGACTCAGTGAGTCAACTCCAAATCCCAACTCCCTAATCGTCGAATCTTTAAAGGCGCGATTCTGACTCGTGAGTTGTAGAAATTTGTGGAATGCGAATTACAACTCGCAAAGCATACTCATAGAGTGCCTTAATAGTTATCTTAGCTAGATTAATATCAAATATGAAATATCAATGAATTATTGTTTTACACAAATGTGAATAATAATTTATTTTACTCATTGTAATTAATTATTATTTATTAACTACTATTGTAAAATGAAATGTAATATTGATATCAATAATTTTTTATTCATTATTTGATTATATATATTGGAATTAAATTGAAGCGCGAAAGAAATCTAATTCAAATTGTATGGACATTATGGAAAAAGTAGTTGGTTATTACTAATTATATAATTATATAATTTTATGAGATAATGAGCCTCAAACCCTGATTTTTACCTATAAGATGGTTGAGCTAATTTTAAGTTAAAACTTCTAATCATTCAATAGTTTGATTCCTTTTTCCTTCTATTAAAATTGTAGATTCTTTATACATACCCACAATAGTTACACAAAATATTATTTATTTGGTTATTTGATATTTATAAAATATTTTTCTATTAAATTGTTTAATATTTTTACTAATTATATTTAAATTTGTTAATTATTATTAAAATAAAAAGTAAATTTAAAATCTAAAAAACTATTTTTTTATTATTAACATCAACACATAGATTTATTTATGTGTTAAATTATGTATACAAATACAATGTAGGTATTATCAATGTTAAATGTTTAGTGCATGCAATGAGAAAAATAGGTCTATCCCTCTCGTATATTTCAAAATTTTCTTGTATGCAATTACAGGTCTATTCTTGAATGAATATTGTTCTAAAAACTGACATATTATGTATAATCTAGTCTCATTTATTTAAAATTTTACTCATTGTGTCAACGCTGTTTCGTGTGATTACAATAAATCTTGTGCACAAAATCCAAAATTGTGAAACACTTTATTTAATTTACGAAGGTATTTTATTTCATTTTAAAATGAATAAATCAAGTGTTATATGGGAATTTTTTCAACTTGAAGCAGTTAATATTCATGTAAAGTGTGGATTTTGTCGTATAAAATAAAAAATAATCATTCTTCCGACTTCAAATTTAATATTTTTCGTATATTGAGCGCCCGACGCTTTTATCACAATAATACTAGTACTTTTCTTACATTATTGTTTTAAGCTTATTATAAAAATTATTTTTAACTTTTTAGTTCAATGTGCTTTAAGCGTGTTTTTTAGATTTTTAAACTATATTTATTAAGTAACAATAACAGCACTTTAAAAATTTAACTTGTTCACAATTTTATGAATATATTTTGCAGCAGCTAAAATTATTAAATTCAATATTCAATTCAATTGAAGTTCTTCAGGAAATAAAGAAAAAGAGTGAATAGTATTGGAAATGATCTTCATAAATAATTAAGAGAACTGAGTATTTTTCTTATTTATAATTTAAAAAAATTGATATGTAATAATGTACTTATTACTTATTATTTATAATCCTAGCCCGACCAATTAGACTAATCATTGACAGACTTAAACATGTTCGTGTATGATTTAATTAGAAAGATGCATTAAAGATTACTCATCAGCGTAAATGACTGTGTCGCAAGAATGTTTAACTACTTATTGTGAAATGTGAAATTGTGTTTAAACTTATATTTCTTATCTACTATTACTAAATACTTTAATAATAAAAAGTGAATTATTTTACAATTTGTAAAGAAACAGTATTCTAATTTTTAGAAATAAATTTATTATATTTATAATTATTATAACTATATTTTAAAATCCCATTATTTTTAGGAGGAGAGTAAAAACTTGTCATTTATTTTTTTTTTTTATAGTCGCTTTATTGTAGACCTGTGTAATTATTTATAATTAACAAAATGTTATTTTCTTAAAAGTTTACCATAAATTCCTCTAACTTTTATATACATTTGTCATAGAAGTAACGAAATATAAGTAACTAATTATTAATTATTTTATAAGAAATTGAGTGCCTTATAAAAAAAAATCAACCTTTTACAACATACAGGGTGTTAGTAAATGGTATGTCACGAGTAGTAGGGTGATATTAAATATGATAATATTGTTTAGTGATGTCGTCACTAGGTAATAAGGTCACCAAGGGTATATAAGGGAGATTTTTCTAGTTGGATTGTCAATATGTGTTTAGCGTTGATAATGGAAACATTCTTTCCGAAATAGGTAACCTCGATTTTTCAGTAAATTTTTGTGGCTTTTGAGTTTAATAATTGAATTATTTTTAGTTTCTAAATTAATAATATTTTTAATATAGTTTTAATTTTATTTAATTAATTAGCCACAAGTGATCAATTTTTACTATACAGGGTGTTAGTAAATGGTATGTCACGAGTAGTAGGGTGATATTCAGTAGGACCTAAAAATAGCGAAATCGAAAACTAAAATTTCCTATCTCCAAAATTGGGGGTTTTCCGGTTCCCCCACTTTAAATTTTATTTTAATAAAAAATAAACATCACAACGGTATTTCCTACGAAATTCTCATATAAAGTGAGTGGTCATTTTATCATTAAAACTGTTATAAAATTATCATTTTTTTTTCTTTTTAGATCAGAAAAATAAAGCAATCACAAAATTGAAATGAATATTTTAAACTTTATAACAATAGGATAAGTAGAAATAATTATGATATAATCGGCACACTACTCTTTCTCGAAATTAATCACTAATGAGAATATGGTACATCACTGAGCTTGATAATATTTATTTAAATGTTCGACAAATACTGTTCACTATTGAATTAATTCAATACTAAAATCACTAATTAAGTTGAAAAAAATATTAGACTATTTTTAAAATATAGCTTCTTTTTTATGCAATAAAAATTGCATTTATTTAAAAAAATGATAATTTTATAACAGTTTTAATGATAAAAATTATAATCGGTTTGAATAAATAATAAAAGACAAAATAAACTCGTGAAATTAAAAAAATACCAAATTATCTGTGGCTTATTCCAGTTTTTCTCGTTATGTAATCGTTTAAACTAAAAGTAAACTGCATCACATAACACTCAGTAAAATTTCAATACTAATTGATGGGTCACACTATATGAAATTTTTTTCCAACTTTGAACCCAAAGTTCAGGGGATGGCACGAAAGTTACAAAAAATCGAGTGACCACTCAATTTATATGAGAATATCGTAGGAAATACCGTTGTGATGTTTATTTTTTATTAAAATAAAATTTAAAGTGGGGGAACCGGAAAACCCCCAATTTTGGAGATAGGAAATTTTAGTTTTCGATTTCGCTATTTTTAGGTCCTACTGAATATCACCCTACTACTCGTGACATACCATTTACTAACACCCTGTATAGTAAAAATTGATCACTTGTGGCTAATTAATTAAATAAAATTAAAACTATATTAAAAATATTATTAATTTAGAAACTAAAAATAATTCAATTATTAAACTCAAAAGCCACAAAAATTTACTGAAAAATCGAGGTTACCTATTTCGGAAAGAATGTTTCCATTATCAACGCTAAACACATATTGACAATCCAACTAGAAAAATCTCCCTTATATACCCTTGGTGACCTTATTACCTAGTGACGACATCACTAAACAATATTATCATATTTTACCAGTTTACACAAGTTATAAATGAATTTTTCAGTGAGCCAAGATCCTTATTAGTTAAATTATTTTTATTTATAAACATTTCTATTGCCTCCTTAATATTAAGTTCATTGCAATTATTTACATTTTTAATTAGTTTTATGGTTTTAATGGAGTGTTATGTGTCAATAAATGTTCAATGTTTCTTATGTACTCTTAAAATCTGGCCCTATATTTCTTTTTGTTTAACATTCACATTTCATTTTATAAATACTTGATTTCCCCCCTTCTTCTACCTTATCTTTTGGTTACCTAATAAATCTCTTAAATTACTACTCTTAGATGTTACTAAAGTAATACCAAAATATTTAATTATTCTAGGTCGTTCATATGAAATGCCCTGAATTATAAAATAGGTTATTTAATTTCTTTTTTTCCCCACGCTAATGAGTGTAATAGCTGCTCTCCTTACTTAATTCAACTTTCAAAATATATCAAAACTGAGTGATTCTTGTACTGTATAAACGAAATTATACATTTAAACTTTTGTTACCATAACGTATATTATTATTTTATTTATTAACACTTCATCGGTTTATGTGTTTCTGTGAACAAAATTTGTTTTGCTTGAAAATTAATGTTACCTATGACATTTCAAATCGCAGAAAATACGTTTTTTTCTCGCTTATTACTATTATCAATTATTATCAATTCACTAAAAATTTAAAATATAAATACAGGATTTCTTAAAATGAAAAATCAAAAAGATTTCTTCTGTAACTAGAAGAAGAAATTGATGACGATTTATTTTTTAATTTGGAAATCTAAAATGATGAATTTTATAAATTGAAAAATTAACAAAAATAAAATAATATATAATTTTATTGGAATAAATAATTATTTTGATAGTAAAGACATTAAAATTCAGAATGTTGTTTATATCAAAATAGAAGCAAACTAATATTGCTTTTTAGAGAAAATTTTATTATAAAGAATTTAATACACTGTTAATAACATCTTGTGACGTGTCAACAACTTGTGACGTGGTTAATTGTACATTACATAGTAGGCCATCGCTTAATCAACAAGTTAATTTTGCGATTTTTAAAAAAATGTCTATTTTTTTAATTTAAATAAATTGCATGTTAAAACATTTATACATATTTTAAAAAAATATTTTGTTTTTTTATAATTACGTAATAAATGATTACATAATAACAATGAATTATTACATTTTTATATTTATCTTGGTAGTCAACGCAACAAATGGACAGAAAAAATATGATAAAGGGTATGTAATTAATTTTTTAAATTCATTTTTACAAGAAAACAATTGGGACATACCCATAAATACAGAAGTGAATGACGATCAAAACGAATATTCGTTTAGAGTATGGCAGTTATTATTAAATAAAGAAGAATATTCTAAAAAAAACATCGTCACAAAAAAAAATCTTCAACAAAAAATTAGTGATACAATGATGCTAATTAATTATGAGTACACAATAAATTTAGCATTTATCGTGAATCACATAAAATATATAGCTTCTTATTGTAATATACTTAAACAGCAGGCTACTATAGTAAATGTTTCAACACTTCACGCGAAGTGTGTGTATTTATTAATTCGAAATGTTAATGAATCCATAAATCTTATACTACGTTATATTAGTGCAATCAATTTCCTAAGGAATTTGTTAAATGTAGAAACCAACACAGATATTTTAGACGAATTAATACAATTTATTGAATTGGTAAACAGAGAAAAAAATGAAAATAACTATTCATTAGCGGACAAAATTTATCTTAATTTCAAAAAGGCGTACGAAATGGATAATAATAATTTGCAAAAAATAGTAAACAATTATTTAGTAGCTGAATACAAGTATTGTGTAAATAAAAGAATGGACGATTTTGATCAATATAAATCAGACAATAAATTACCAAAAACGTTTCAACATTACGAATTCGCAGAAGTTATCTTAAATAAAAGTCTTGAACAGATGAAAAACGCGTATGCTAAACACGGCTTTCTTTATGACATAGATAAGAATAAAACTTCTTATTTATACGATGTATAGTTGAAGAAAAAAATAATTATTTTCAATTTTTTTTTAGCATTAGAAGCTATGTGTAATGTGAATATATGTGTCTTTAACAAAATATTTTTAATATAATTGGATGTTAAAAAAATAAATAAAATCTATAAAAATTATTTCTTTGTATTGCTGAACGATGCGAAGCTGAAATTGTATTAATTTAACTATGATATGTTTTAGCTTCGATGCGAAGGTATTAATTTAACTATGATATGTTTTAGCTTCGATGCGAAGGTATTAATTTTACTATGATGTGTTTTTTTTTTGTGTCTGTTACCACTTTTTCTCAGCTCTCATCGAACCGATTTCTTTCAAAGATACGTCAACAGATCACAAATCGTATCTAGTCAAAGGCATTACCCTCAAAAATTGAAAAAAAATCCCACGTTCCCCGTAAATGGGGGAATCCTTCAAAAAAAAAAATACAAATTTAAAAATCGCTAATATTCGAAATTTTTTCAATTTTTTTTACTTAAAATTGCTATAACTTTTTTTAAAATAACCACATCAATATAATTTTTGTTTATATAGATGCATGATATCATTAACTTACATGAGACATATATTTTTTTTTTATCTGACGCTTTACCTGCCCACAGGGGGGGATTTAAAATGACAACTTTTTCACATTTTTATATATATATCTTAAATTAAAACTTATGTAATGTTTTTTATTATGAAAAAAAAATTTGACCTCTGGACTTGTCTTCGTGATGAAAATGACTACTAAATGCTATTTTTGTTAAAAATTTCTTAATTTTATTTTTAAAATTTTTAACTTTATAATGCTATAACTTATTAAAAAATTTATGGATTAACACAATTTTTTTATGAGAAATAATATTTTTTAATAATCCATTTTTCATTCAGGATATTAATAAGAAAATAGCAGATCAAGTAGCTTTTGGAATAAAACACCAATTTTTTTAAAATTAAACACTATCTAAAGATTTGCATCGAAGCGTTTATTTTTGATAGTGATTTTAATCACTGTCAGATATCATTATACTTGATCCAACTATGCCTCGTCACCACTGTGGCGTGACCCCCCTGTGCTGGGTTGGCTTTTTATATTTTTTATTACATTTCCACGCCTCCCAATTTATGGCGTATCCCGTCGTCTATGGTCTTAAAAATGATTTTTAACTTTTTAGTTCGATATGTTTTAAAAGCGTGTTTTTCAGTATTTTTAAACTATATTTACTTTAATTATCTTCAATTACACTTTGTTCTTGAATTATTTACTATGTAATACTTTTTAAGTTCATCCCATCTCTGGTAAAAGTGTCAAAAAAATTTTTTTCATCCCTTATGCCTTGGAGGGGGGTTAACTTTGTTTTTTTAAATGGGAACACATATTTTAAATTTAATAAAATGTTTGAGTTTTTAATCGAATAGTAAATGGTATTAGAATTATTAGTATAACTTTATTTTTTTATTAGATTTAAACATTTAAAGTAATCCCTTGTGTATTATACATGTATATTAATTCAAAAATTTGAAACTTTAAATGTTTATATCTAATAAACAAATAAAGTTATACTGAAAATTCAAGTGCCATTTACTATTAAATTAAAAACTCAAACATTTTATTAAATTAAAAATATGTGTTACCATTTAAAAAAACTAAGTTGACACCCTTACCAGGCATAAGGGATGAACTTAAAAAGTATTACATAGTTAAAAATTCAAG